CACTTAAAAGGGCTTCATTTTCCTCAAATAGAATTTCCAGCAGCAGCTTTCTAACTTCTTGGTCCTCTGTTCCCCTCACCTCTTTGCTGGTTTCATTTTACACAGAAGGAAATTGAGATATAGAGAGGTAAGTAACATAGATAGCACTCCTGCTGAAGGGAACTTCAATATCAAAGGAGAATGCTAACTCAGAAGATCCGAAGACTAACTGAGATTAGTGGCCAAGAAAAGTCTTGAGTTCAAGGTTCTCACAAGGTGAAATTTGGTGATGAATGAAAAAGGAGGCGATGGAGGCTGTGTCATAAGATTTGATAAAGGGGAGAGAGGGGCTGTACAGCAGCACAACCAGGGTACATGTCTTCCTTCTGGGCAGAACCTTACAAACTCCTGGGTAAGGTAGTTCAATCCTCCACTGGTAGGTGTTTGTGCTCGCAGCAGATAGGTGTTGTGGAGTTCTAGAAGCTCTTCCAGGTCATACTTTCCTATCCAAACACTTCCTAGAGTCCCCAGATACTAAAATTGGTGATTGGTAGAAATTTTTGTTTTAATTTTGGCAGCCCAGTATCTATTAATTATCTTTTGGCAGTAGCATTAATATTGTCCTTTGGGGGAAGTGCTTCTCTCTCATTGGTTAAGTTCTGGTGGGATGGTTAACCAAGAACTTCTATTTCCCTCCCCCCCACCCAGCTAAGGGGAAGCTGTAGGACCCATAGTAATCTAAATGGATGCTTCCTCTGGAAATGGAAGCTCAGCCAGGTTGACAAAAACACTAAGACCAAGGTTCATTTATTCTGCTAACAACATGCTGTAGACGTCTGCAATATTCCTGTGACATCGACCCTGATGTGTCCTAACAGACTTCTGTTAGGAATCTGAAGGAATTCAGTAAAGTTAGATTTGTTCTTTAGGAAAAAAAATCCATCGGCCAGTTGGAAGATTTAGGAGCAAAAATAATTCTCAATCAATATCATATATAGTATGTACCTGAGCAATTATAGATTGCCAAAAGATTTATAGAGCTATCATGCTTGATCACCATAGAGGTTAATCCAACTTTCTCATTTTATAGATAAGAAAAGGGAGTCCAACCGATTTCTGTTTGTCAAGTATTACTGAAATTACTGTTTGAAGATAATGGGTTTAGATCCAAACTAATTTAGCTTAGTCACAAGACAGGTGGGACTGTGTAAATTTATACAGCTCAATTAAATCTTAGCACTGAAAGGGACCTCCAGGTCTCTCACAATCATGTATCCATTTGCCCCATCACGGTGGGCTTTAATAGTATCAGCAGGTTGTCTTTTACTTCACAGCCTATAAAGAAGGCAATTCAGTGACTTCCTTTGTAAAGCATTAAGCATCACTCACACTTCAATCTAATGATATTTTTACATGTAAATGTAGAGCACTTTATATGTCTGCTTAAAAACTATTTAAAATTGTTATTTGAAAATTAGAAGCAGCCTTAAAAGTAAGTTGAAGTATTACCATGCAGTTGAAAGGGTTGTAATAAATGATCTTGACCATATTTTCCTAATTAGAAATAACATAAGTCATAGGCTTTAGGAGTAAAAAATTGGTATTAGTAAAAAATTCCCTTCCCCCATAAGATGGCTGGGGAAGGGAATGTTTTCTTTAACCCAAAGAAGAATAATTACAGGGGGTTTCCATATTCAGTGCAAACTTGTAAAACTAATTTTGGGATGCCCCACAGTTGAATTCAATGCAGCAAATGTGTTTTGAAATTTCTTATATTTGAGGTAAGAGCTTTGAGACTGTAGTGGGTATTTGTGGGAGATTGGTTCCAGGATTCTTCATGGAACCTAAAATCTGTGGATACTCAAGTCCCTTATATAAAAAGATATTTACATATAACTTATGAAATCCTCCTGTATACTTTAATTCATACTTATATTACTTGTAATACTTAACACAATGTAAGTCCTATGTAAATATTGTTGTAGTGTATTGTTTGAGGAATAACAACAAGGGAAAAAGTCTGTACATGGTCAGCACAATTTTTTTCAAATATTTTCAATTCATACTTGGTTGATTCCTTGTTGGATAAGGAGGGTTGACTGTACAAAGACAGCCATACAGTTCCTGACGCAAGGGTCTTGGAAGCTAGTTAGGGAAGGAAGAAGAAGGAAGAGGAAAGAAGGAGAAGCAGCAGCTTAATACTCATTTGGTTATGACTCCTCCCTTGACAATTGTTATATAAAGAAAAAGAAGTAAACATTAAGCCCATCTTTTCAGAAGGAACTGTAGTTTTTCCCTGGTTGAGGAAAGAGTTCCTTCTCAAAGGGTGCTACGTCATATATGTTTTTCTTTGAACCCTGTGAAATTGTTGACATTTAACTATTTCATTATAGAAAATTTCACGATTCACAGCGTGACCTATGAAGCTTTCTTGCCAACGTGTTAAAGCTCTGTGGTTCTTGTTCTCCATTTGCCCTTATAAATGCTTTTAGTACCTTTTTCCATCCAGCCCTGCCTCTCTGGAGACTTCCCTGTTCAGGCTGTTATCACCCAGGGTCCTTTATATTTTGACTTCTGATTGGATTTGGCCAATGTGGGGGGGAGGCTCCTGCAGAAATTTTGAGGGTGGAGGAGAGAATTTATTCCTCACCACCTCACTCCCTACTTAAGTGAAGCCTAGGTGGTGGCTGTATGCCTTTTCTATGTAGGGTTCCTGTTGAGGGCTATTATGGATTGAATACAGTTGAACACTTGGTCCCCACTCATCTGGTTGTGCTCTTTTAGGAGGTGGTAGAGACTTTAGGAAGTAGGACTTAGCTGGAAGAAGTAGGTTACTAGGGTGTGCTTTGGAAAGTTATACCTGGGATCCTGGTCCTTCCCTTCTCTCTGCTTCCTGAGGTGAATAGCCTCTGCCACACACTCCTGTTGTCATGATGTTCCGTCTCAGCACAGGCCCAGAATCAAAGGAACCAAGGATTGTGGACTGAACCCTTTGAATCTATGAGCCAAAAGAAATCCTTCCTTCTTTAAATTGTTTCTTTCAGGAGTTTGATCATAGTGATGAAAGTGTGACCAGAACAGTGGCCTTCTTTCAAAGCCCTAGTCCTGCAGTACTTCATTAACAGCTCAGCCCAGGCTGGTCACACCTGAGGACATAGTACTAGAGAGCTGACTGTCCACCCATCTGTAAAGAGTCTCTTTTTAAACTTCCTTCAGTTAAACCCTTTGAGTGTGCCATCTGCTTCTGGTCAGGTCTCTGACTATTTCAACCTGAGTCTAATCAGGTCTTTATTTTAACAGGACATCAAAGATAGAAAGTAGAAAAACAAGTTAAACAACAGATTGAAGTAAAAATCAGACAATCTAGAATTTTGTATCATGAGAACAGGACAAGAACGCCTGTAAGCATGCTCAGTTTTCTCTAAAAAGTTTTAGCTGAAACAAAAGGACACTTTGAAGATTAATTATGAGTTTTACCCTAAAGGTGCCTGCCTCACTTAGCAACTAACAAGCTCTCAGAAACTATGGACTGGATTCTGTACTTCCTTTTATGGTTTATAGAAGCTTGCATGACACTTTAAGATATTTGAATCTTCAAGGCAAATATAGGCAGACGTGGGCAGTAGGTTTCTATTTCTATTTTTATTAATGGAAGGGGAAAGGTCTAAGAAGCTAGGTGGAATATTGAGAAGGGTAATTTAGACATTTTCTTGAAGTTGTCACAGAACTGTCTTGAGGTCCCTTTCTGGGAGCAAGGAAATCCAAAGAAGACAGATGGCCTGGAGTCTCACACTTCACAAAACCTCTGTAAATTCTGCAACTCAGACAAGCCATTGGAGAATGGTACCTCCAAAAAAAAAGATTCAGGTGCATTCGAGCTTATAGTTCACTGTTGCTAGAGAGGAAAGCAGGGTAAGGTTAAGTCTGAATGGAGAAAAGTTAATTTTGAGTCAACTGCTAAGTGAGATCTAGTCTTGTATTTATTTAACTAAATTTAGATAGAGTGTCAACATATAAAAATTAGTGTAATTTTCTTCCAGGTTAATATTTAATCCTTTTTAATATGTGGGTCTTTATTAAAGAAATATTACTGGGTAGAAATGATTTTTATCCATTTAATAGTGCTTAAAAGAAACCAAGTGTTTAAACCAGGCCTACAACCTGAGAAAAATTGCCTTTCAGTAATTTTTTGTCTTTTGTTCGTCTGGTGAGGTGGTCTTGCAGCCATCTCAGCTGTCAAAACCCACACGTTTTGGAAACATTCTGGAATCCCCAAGGTGGACCAGAGCTGAACTAGCTAGGGTACATTTGTGTGTGTGTGTGTGTGTGTGTGTGTGTGTGTGTTCATGATATAGACCTGCTGATTTTCCCACCCTATCTTCGGCTAGGGGAACCTGGTCTACAGATATCACGTGCTCATCTGCTTCAGGGTAGTTGTCATCATTCTACCCACTTGCCAATCTTTGGTTAGAAAATCAGCTTGTGACACAATCAAGCCAAGATGGTGGGAGTATAGATGGGTCTTCTGTAAGGCCTCCAGAAAAAGTTTCTCTGTTCTTGAAAAAGATGTGTTTGAGAAAAGCCCTTTCTGTTTCTAGTTGTTACTGTGTGAGGAGGTGATACAGCAGTAATCCACTGTTAACCTGCTCTCCAAAAACAAAGTCTTGATTTGTAGCTGTTGCCTATTTCCATTCCTGTAGTGTAAATTCTCTCACTGTGGCTCATTTATGCTATCAGTAGCTGAACAGTGGCGGCCAGACTCCTGAATATTGGGCAATTGCTCTCAGGAGCCTGAGGGAGCCAACTCCGTCCCACCGCTGACAACTTAGGGCCGTCGTGTCCATTTGCTCAGAGTAGGCAACATGGTGGGGATGGCAGAGCAGAAAGAGGAAAGGCTCCAGATCTGTCATCTGAGAGCGATGGAATTAAGCAACTCTGGAGTCTTCCTCATTCTGGACTTCTTGTTTTGTGAGTTAATAAATAAACTTCTTGTTTAAAGTGGGTGGAGTTGTGTGTGGTGAGTCTGGACTTCATCTTGATGGTACAGGTACCCTTGGGTTCCCACCTGTAGAGGGAGGGAGATACAGCAGGGACAAAACTAAATACTGGAAAATGGAAATACTCAGTTGGTGGGCAGGAAGAGGGAGTGTGTGTGTGCGCGTGTGTGTGCGTGTGCGTGTGTGTGCGCGCGTGTGTGTGCGCGTGCGTGCGTGTGCGCGTGCGCGAGTGTGTGCGCGCGCGTGTGTGTGCTGTGTGTGCGTGTGCGTGCGCGTGTGTGTGCGTGTGTGTGTGCGTGTGTGTGTGGGGGGGGAAGGGCAGGGAGCATCGTCTGGGTTGAAATAGTACTCTGGCCGGTTGCCGAGAGGAACAGCATGGTGGCTGAGGGCCAGCGAGGCTGCTCATGCCCTCGCCAAGGAGGCTCCAGTGAGAGCAGGCACCTCAAAGAGAGTCAGGACGCCAGACAGAGGCCCAGGCCCGGGAGGGCTGCCTGGATGGGACTATAGAACACAGTGCTGTAGGAAGTAGGGACAAGGGCTCATGGGAGAAAGAGGAGGTGCAGAGAGAGGCAGCAGTGTATTTGCAGAGGTCTAGACTGCTCACTCACCCACGCACTGGGGAAAGGGCACCCGTTGTCCTGAGAGGCAGAGTCAAAATTCCCTCAGATGCTCACCAGCTGAGACTGAATGTTGGGAGTTAGTAACTGCCACAAATCAGACTGAGAAATGGCAGAGAAGGAACGAGAATCTTTTCCAAAATACCTTTAGTACATTTCCTTGGTGACGTTACGAAATTGCTGCTTACTTTTCTTCTTGGATCTTCAAAAAGAGTATCATTGCCTTCCCTCCACCACAGCCATATTGTCACAATCTCTGGGGTCCAGAAACTTACCACTGACAGTCATGTCTGGCCCTCTGAAAAGGCTCCCTCACGTGTGTGAGGAAATCTGTTTGCCTGCCTATGACAGAAGCAATTTAGTTTCTGTTGTGCAGTGATTTCTCCTGTTATTCATTTACTCTTTTTCTTTCTTTTCTTTTCCCACACAGTCAATAATGTATCCATAGGTCTCTGTCGGTTCAGTCTCATTAATTGAATGACTACCTGGGAAGGACCTTTATAATTGAATTGTCTGGAGGAAGGAGGCTCAGGAAGGATGAAAGTTGATGTGTCAACAGCGTTCTCTGGGGATTTTTAGAGCATTATTTTCCTCTGGTTTAGTTGGGAAGCCAAAGAGCAGGAAACTTGGCTTCCTCTTTGCACTCTGTGTCTGTTGGAAGTCATGGTTGGTGATTTTAATTTATTTAGTGGCTGGGTTCTGTGACAATATCATTACAAGAGAGTAACTAAGGATGAAATCAAACAGGAGTGGAACCTTCAAGAGTGAAGTTCTCCCAAGTTCATGCTTTTTTCCTGCTTGACTAATAAAGTCTGGTTTGTTTTACCAGTATCTCCAGTATAGTGACATGTGTCAGACTGAATGGAATGCTTTAAAAAAATTGTTTTTTGGTGGTGCTGGGGTTTGAACTCAGTGCCTTGCATCTGCTAGGCAGGTGCTCTAACAGTTGAGCCATACTCTTTTTGCTATTAGTTTATTTTTCAGATAGGGTCTCCTGATTTTTGCCCAGGCTGGTCTGGACTACAATGCTCCTTTTTAGGCCTCCCAAGTAGCTGGGGTGACAGGGTTGCACTACCACACACAGCTATTGGTTGAGATGGGATCTTGCTAACTGTTTTCCCAAGTTGGCCTCAAACTGTGATCTTCCTGATTTCTGCCTTCCAAGTAGCTGGTTACAGGTGTGAGCTACCATGCCCAGCCCCAGAAGGAATGCTATTTTACAATGCAAAACCCATCATAAAGACAAAAGATGGAAACAGGAAATATTTGCAATTCATTTAGTAGACAAGGGCTAATTTTCTTTATATGTAAAAAGCTCCTATAAATAAAAAGATGATCACTACAATGAAAAATATGCAAAACATGTTTCTTAGATATTTTAAAAGATAGCTAGCTTATAATAACTTAAATAGGGATTAAATTGAGATAGACATCCATTTTTCATATATTAGATTGGAAATGATAAAAAAATTAACAGGACACTGTGTTGGTAAAAGCATTAGGAGACAGGTGCTGTCCTCCATTATCAGTGGGAAAATAAGATTGTACAACTTTATTAAGTTATTTGGAAACATACTTCAAAATTATCAATATCTGTATGCTTAACCTATTAAAGCCAGTGCTAGAAATTCGTTCTATAGACTTACTCACATACATGGAGAATGGCATGTCATAATGTCACATGTTGCAGGCTTGTTTGTAAGAGATCAGAAATGATTTAAGTATTTATCAATAAGGGATTTGTCATCTCCATATAATGGAATATGATGCAGCCATAAAGAAATGAGGATGCTCTTGCGGGATGTGGTGGTGCACACCTGTAATCCTAGCTACTTAAGAGATGAAGATTGAGAGCACTGTGGTTTAAGGCCAGCCCAGGCAAAACGTCAGTGAGACAGAATCTCATCAAAACAAGCTAGGCATAGAGATATATGCCTGCCACTCCAGCTATGCAGGAGGCATAGGTAGAAGGATCACAGTCCAGGCCAGCTTTGAGAAAAAAGCACGAGACCCTATCTGAAAAATAACTAAAACCAAACGGGCTGGGGGCGTGGTTCAAGTGGTAAAGCCCCTGCCTATCAAGCGCAAGTACCTGAATTCAAGCTTCAGAACTGCCAAAAAGAAAAGAAAAAAAGAAATGAGGGTATTCTTTACATACATGCATTGAAAGATCATTAATTTTTCTTACTTCACAAACTTCAAGGATAGAAAATCAGGTAACAACATAGAAGTGAAAGATACTTATACTGGGTTGCATGTATTTGCATAAAGTATGTCCGGGACATAGCCAAGAAATGGATTATATTTAGCCCCTTGGTGGAGAGGAATTGTGTGTCTGAGGCTTAGGGTAGGAGATAGAATTTTTCTTTTTTATTTTGTATTCCCCTGACCTTTAAAAAAAGAGATGTGCTATCAGTTCAAATTAGTAAATAAAATGTTTTAAGTAAGAGGAACCTTCTGGCATAATATACCGGAAGTGGCCTAAATTCTCCCTGTCTAGCTGCACTATGCCCTGTGGCCTTCAGTGGCATCCATTCTCTGTTTATGTGTGTTCCCTGTCCCTCCAGGGGCCACATGTTTTCATTGTGCTTCTAACCTCAGTTTGTGTCTTGATTCTTCCTGTAGTTGTCAGATAGCAAGGCTTCCGGCTGTATATGACCAGGTAGACCTTTCTTCATGTCCTGTGTCTGGGGTATCACTCCAGGCCTTGATCCAACCCTTCCACCCTAGGAGTAGAAGATAGTCGTGGTAGGAAGCTTAGCAGGAAGCTCATTACTGATTTGCAGGGTACAGGTGACTGCAGAGCAGGGGTTAGAACCTATGGCAGGCTAATGGCCGGCAAGGTGAATTTAAAGCTGGGATTGTGGGAAGGGATAACCACAAAGATGGAACAAGAAGAAGAGTCTATGTTGGCTTGGGTTCAAATCTTTCCTCTGCCTCTCTTACTGGTTATGTGATTTTAAGCAAGTTTTCTTACCTTAGCTTACCTGCTCTTCTCTATAAAAAGGCGGTGGAGACCCCTGGCAGTCCACTCAAATCCATCTCATTTTCTTTTGTGGCAGTGGATATGTAGCTGGGCACATGGCTACTAACATTTCAAGTCTCTCTGGCCATTGGGTGCCGCCAAATGGTCAATTCCTGCTGGTGGAATGTGCGCAGAAGTGTTGTGCTGTCTGTTCAATTCCCCATGGTCTATTCCCTGTCTCTAAGGCTGAACCAGAGCAACACATCTTGACCATGGAGGTGAAGGCAAAACTGTAGACATGGCAAAACAATGATTTGGGTGGAGCCAGGGTCTCTAAATGAACACAAGAAGCAGAGTGGCCTGGCCATCGAAACTCCCTCTTGCTGTTACAGGAGGCAGAAATGAACTGTGGCCTTCAAACTATTCTATCACTCTTGCATCTCCTTATTATGATGGCCCAGCTTTACCCTAACCAAGAAAGGAATGCCCCTCTATGTGGCAAAAACGTCAAATACTGCTATGCTTTAGATGTAGTTTGTTCCCCAAGTGTTTCTGTTTTGGGAGCTTGGTCCCTTGTGTGATGATGTGGGAGGTGATGGGAGCTTTAAGAGGTGGGGCCTAGTGGGAGTGTGCCCTCTGAAGGGGCTAACATAGTTCTCCTGGAATCCAACTGTTCCTCTAGCTCTGTCCCACCATGTTCCTGTCATTGTACTGCCATCTGCCATGAGGACTTCACCAGAGCTGAGCTGCTGCCAGAACCATGCATGCCCTTGAACTCCTCAAATTGTGAGATAAATAAACTTTTGTTCTCTATAAGTTATCCAGCTTCAGGTAGTCAACTACAGTTATAGAAAATGGACTTAATATGGACTACTATGGTTCCCATAGAAAACTTCCTAAAGCTGTTTGCCCTGAAGGTGGAGAAACCTAGGCTTATCCCATCTTCTAGGAGAGAGAGGAAAGGAGAGGAGAGAAGAGGGAAGGGGAGTGGAAGGGAGGGAAAAGGAGAGGAGAAAAGAAGAGAGGGAGGGGCATGAGGGGGAGGGAGAGAAAGGAGGGGAAAAGGGAGGGAGGGAGAAAGAGAGGGGAGGGAGGGAGAGAGAGAGGGGAGGGAGGGAGAGAGAGGGAGAGAGAGGGAGAGAGAGAGAGAGAGTGATAGAAGAGAGAAAGAACATAACACATATAAAGGGCTTAGCCTGATGCTGGCACATAGTAAATGGGAGTAATTGTTAATGTACTCTTCCTTCCTAGAATTAGTTAGTTATGCTGCAGAGTGGTATGGGGTTAGAGAAAATTTCTCCTCCAGTTGTCTCAAGGCTTTGATCTGAGGGACAAGTAGGACAGGATTGCAATGCATAAAGAAATCTCCTCTCAGTTTCAAGATTTCTGTCTTGAAATTATTGGTGGGAGAGGCCCATGGAGGGCACTGCTGCCTCACACTCAGCTCCTAGAAGAATGAATGAAAGAAGGCTCAGCCTCACCCTTTGAAAGGCTGTCTTGCTCAATCTTGGATGATTGCTCGTCCATAAACCCTAAAACCCACATTTGACAGTCCAGAAGGGGCTGCCCAGTGTCTTATAATTACCCATGCTGCTTCAAGCAGGATGGAGGTTGAGGGATGAGTTTGGGCCAGGTTATTGACTTTGCTGCCTCTGTTTGCTTGCTAGACATTGTATAATGTAATGAAATGATTTTGCTGGGCTGTGTGTGCTGGTGAACGTCTGTCACCCCAGCAGTCTGGGAGGGCTTAGGTAGGAGGATCATGGTCCAAGGCTGGCCTGGGGCAAAAACATGAGAACCTATAAAAAAAAAACTAAAACAAAAAGTGCTGGAGGCATGGTTCAAGTGGTAGAGTGCCTGCCTAGCAAGTGCTGGGCCCTGAGTTCAAACCCCAGTACCACCCCTCCCAACCCCCCATAAAATTTTTGTGCTTGAGCCTGAGATATCACTTTACTATCTCTACTTGTGGTGTTATGTAAGATATATAATTCTTTATGTTGTGTTTCTCATCTGTTAAGATAAGGAGTTGATTCTTGTTCTGCCATTATTGAATCTCAAAGAAATGACATATTTGAGATCACTTTGAGAATGGAAATAAATTTTAAATGAAAGGGTTAGTCAACATATGAGTGGAGATGCTTTGCTGGTGCATAAGTTCAAGGGTCACCTTACCAGGATTTTGTGACACAAGACTGGTTGAGACAGAAGAGGCCAAGAGGAATATTTTTGCTTATAGTGACTAGGCTTAATGAAAAATTATGAATTGATTGCCTAGATGTGTTGGTTACTGGTATTTTATGATAGTTAATTTAATCCTCTTCATTACCCTAGGAGGGTTATTAGGCCAGTTTTACAGATGAGGCTACTTAGTCTGAGAAAGAATGGTTAAGTGGCTGGACCAATGTTACACATTTAAGAAGTGGCAGGCCAGGATTTGAGTCAGGTCTACTTAACCAACAAGGCAAGTGAGGCCTTCAGCTGATTGAGCTGGAGAAGTGACCACCAGGATGCTGTACCAGGTGGAACAGCTTATAAAACAAGAAGATATTCATCCAGGAGCTTATAATAACTCTTTCATTTGCCTATTCATTCTGCTAATCCATACACATTGACTGAGTTTCTCTCCTGTAACAGGAACTGTGCTAGATTTGGAATAAAACAATAAATAAAATAGAGTCCCTGAAGGGTTCAGGAAATACCAGTGCAGCAGAGTGGCTTGTCAGGCATCTCATTTATTCTCAATCCAATCCTGTTAGGAAAATTGCACCTATTGCTTGGCCACTGTTAAGGTTTTAAACATTATTGTTCTGTAGGAACAATCTGCTTATACTGCTTCCTGCCAGAGAATGGTGTAAATCCATAATAACTGAAGATCATATACCCAGTGATTTCATTTCAGAGGCAACTGCACAATGGGTTTTGAAATGGGAATAATTGCCCATTGCTCTCGGGATTATCTTATTGTCTGGCAATGACTATGAAGACAGTGGAGTTTTAAGAGGCCATTCAGTAAAAGTGACAGAAGAAACTAATTTTTATTTTTCTTTGAATGACTCTCAAAGTGAGCATCTAATTCAGAGTCCATAAAGGTCTGAAAGAACTTTTGTGATAAAATCAAAGTCTTTTAAACTGAAGGAAGACTGAGTTATAGAACAATTAGAAAACTGAAGGTGTGGCTCCTGCATAAGTCAAGTGGGTGTATGTTTTCAGGAGATGGGTGAGGTGAGACCCACAACTAAAATAACCACAGAAATGATATTTTGCATCTGAATTTAAAGGAACTATTCCTCTTCTCTTTGCAAGTACTATGCAAATCAGCATCCAGTCTGAAAAAATTGTACAAAACTCTCATCTGTCTATACCAGTGTCATTTGACTCAAGTTTCTCTTGAGAAGGAAAAGCACACTTTGTTAAATATATACCAAGGACCAGACACATTGGCTATTTTTGTTCAGAGACAGCACTCAACACAACCTTCTGAGTGAAGTTGTGTTTCACCCCTTCTCAAAGCTCTTTCCCCATTCAGATGCATTGAGTCATCCAACAAATATCTTCAAAGAGCCTGCTCTGTGCCACAGTGTTTCAGGTGCTGGGATATATAGCAGTGAACAAACTCAAACACCATTACCCCATGGAACTTTCTTTTTTTTGTTGGTGGAGACAAAACTACACAAACAAATATAATATGTAAGACTGGAGATTAGTGCTATGAAGAAATTAGTGGAGGTAAGAGGGATAGAAATAATGGGGTAGCAGGAGTACCCAGATTTTGTGAATTTATGTAAGATAATCAGGGTATTAGCTCTCCATTGCTGAGTAACAAAAATCACAATTCAGTGGCTTAAAATAATATTTAATTATCTCATAGTTTCTGTGGATCAGAAATCTGCATGGCTTTAGCTTAAGGCCTCTCAAGAAGCTACATTCAGTTCATGGCTGGCTGTTGGACCAAGAGAACTCAGTTCCTTGCTGGTTATTGGGTGGGGACCTTCCTCCATCCCTTGGTACGTGAGCCTCTTTATATGGTCACTCACAGTGTGGCAGCTGATCTCCCTCAGAGTGAGCAAACAAATGAGAGAATGCAAGAGTGTGCGCAAGACTGAGGCCACAGTCTTTGTGTGTGTGTGTGTGTGTGTGTGTGTGTGCAGTACTGGACTTGAACTCTGGGTCTACACAGTAAGCCACTCCACCAGCTCCCCACTGCCCTTTTTTTATGTTGGGTATTTTCAAGACAGTGCCTCATGAACTATTTGCTCGGGCTGGTTTTGAACTGTGATCTTCTTGATCTGTGCCTCCTGAGTAGCTGTGGCATGAGGTGCCGGCACCCTGCCACAGTCTTTTTGTAATCTAATTTCCAAAGTGACATTCCATGGTGGCTGCCTAATTCTATTCACTGGAAGCAAGCCACTAAGTTTCATGTCCTAGAGTTGGGGATTACATAAGGATGTGAACACTATGAGATTAGGGACCATCTTGGATATGGCAGTACTGGAGTCAGTAAGCTTCAGTAACAAGATGACCTTTGAACAGAAAGCCAGGAAGAGAGGGAGCAGGTATGTGACTACCCGGGTGGAGAACTTTTCAGGCAGAGGAAATAGCTAGTGCAAAGACTATAGGGAGAACAGACCAAGATGAGGTCAGTGAGGTAGCACTGGACTAGATAAGAGTTTTATGTGGGTCATTGTGGGGAGTTCGGATTTTGTTTTCAGTGAGATGGGAAAGTTCTGGAAAGTTTTTAGCAGAGGAGTGGCATGACTTGATTTGTGGTTTAAGAGAATCCCTTTGGTTCTTGTGTGGAGAATAGGTTGGGGGAGTGCACATTTACAGAAGCAATGGGACCAGTTAGATTACTCCCCTGCAGTAATCCAGGGGAGTGATGATCACGGCTTAGGCAGGGTGATAGAGAAGTAAAGAGAAGTAGTTAGAGTTTGGAAATATTTTTGTATAGGACAAACAGGATTTGTTAATGGTTTCCATGGGAATTGTAAAGAAAATGGAGTCAATGAGGATATCTAAGTTTTAGAGTTAGCAACTGGAAGAATTGAGTTGCCCTTTATTAAGTTGGGAAATACTGATGGGGGAAAGGCTTTGATAGGAGAAATATAAATCAGAGGTTTTGTACATGTTCATGTACAGCTATTAGACATTCTAGTACAGATGTTGACTTGGTAATTGGCTACATGAGTCTGGAGCTCCAGAGAGTGGGGTGGACTGTAAACATAAATTTGGAATTCTTTGGACTAATAGATATTTAACACCAATGGAATGGATGAAAATCCTGAAGAAGTGAGAGTAGATTTCAGAGTGGAAAGGCCTGTATATTGGACTCCTGGGGCACCCTAAGGTTTAGAAATCAAGAAAATAAGGTCAGGAAAGGAGACAGAGAAGACGTAACATGAAAGAGAGGAGAACCAAGAGGGAGTAGTGCCCTGGAAACCTAGAGAAGAAGGCATTTCAAGGGCAGGAGAGACCAACTGTGTCCAATACTGGGGTGATTAAGTAAGACCTATGAGAATTGAGACATGACCATGGCTTTGGGAATGTAGAGGTCATTGGTGACCTTGATGAGTGGAGTGCCAGCATGAAAGGTGAGCAAGAAAAGAAGGTAAAACTGAGACTCTTAGAAGAAAGGGATGCCTTTCAGCAATTAGTTGATTGAACCACCTGCAACCTGCTCATCTGTGATGTTTCTAGAACCATGGATTTGTAGCGTTCCACTCCAGAATTCCTGGGATGGCACCTTGTAATCTTGTTTTATTTAAGTCCCACAGGAGATTTTGAGACAGACACATTCAAATTTGAGAATTAATATACTGCCCCCTGTACTTTATCCTGCTCTGGTTAAATTATGATTTGATTTAAGGTAAGTATGTTCTCTGTGTTTCGGCCACAGAGTATTATATGGGTGATTGTTTGCCTGGAGGAATTCCTGTACAATCCTTTAGTCTCTTTATTCTCCAAAGTTTCTTAAGAAAACCTGAACAAAGAAATTTTACAACCCCCAACACCCCCCAAATTGCAATAAGCAGACAAATCTCCCTTTCCTAATGGCTTCTAGGAACCTCATGATTTTTGAAATTCTTGGAATCCTCATGTTAACTTTCTGAGGACATTAGAACCTAAAGACAAAATTAATGCAGATTTAGGAGGCATTCAATATTTTGATGACCACTGAGATACTTAATTTACTGAACTTGTCTACTTTTGAAGCTAGAGGAACTGTTCCAGTCTGATCAATTTGGAAGGTCAGAGTGCTTGGGCTGCCTTTTTCATCAGAGCAAGGGTACCCTGTCCTGCAGTATCTGGAGATTGCTTCTTTATGTTCCAAGCTGCTAATTCTAAGAACAGTTATGTTTCAAAAAGAACAATATAGTGTGGGAGAAATAGAGACAGCAGAAATATAAACCTAAGTGTCCCCCGCCCCGTATAATATAATACACAGAAGACAGGCCTCTTGGGACTTAGGAAGAGGGTGATCATCTCTCTTTAATCCTCTTCTTTTTCAGTCTCCTTCCAAGGCCTACAGTCTCATGCTTGTGTCCCCTTTCATTGGAATCTTTACCCTTTCTTCCAAGATAAGATTACCCCCTGGCTCTTTATTGTATCTTGCAAACCCCAGGACTTTGTTAGGAGGTTCTTTCTGCTTGGGCATTTTGGCCCCAGAAGAGAGTGGGATAAAGTAGGATCTGATTTGATTAATGAAGACTGTAATTCTGATCTGTCATGTACTGAGACCTGCCACTGATTTCCTCCTTTGTTTACTTAAGCAGCAAGGGACCATTGATAATAATTTTCTCAGTAGACCAACAAAGATGGAGATTAACCAAAGTTGGGTAACAAAGATGTATGGAAATTTATATTCTAATTATTTCTATGTGTATATATGTTCTCAGTTGTGTGTAAGTCAATTAAAATGTTGAGGAGAATAATTCAAAACATTATGAAAACGGTGTTTGTAAAACTTCTTGTGGGTGTGTATATATATATATATGTTTCCCAAAATGACTGAAATTAGTCAAAACTATGGTGTAACCAGACAAAAAACAAACTAAAAAATAAATATAAGATGGAAAATCCCAGCAAAATTCTACAAACCAAGAAGCTACTGGACAAACATTAACAGTTGCCCACCAATCTAAAATTATACTCATGAAAAAAAGTTGAGAGAGATAAAGGCTGGAGAGTTTGTTTACTTTTAGTGAAGACAAGTGAACAAGTGCCATGAAAATTCTAAGACTATAAGACGGGAAAACAGAGAGAGAAACTGGGCTTAACCCATGGATGTCTCCATGAGAAAAGAAAGTAGCCACTGAGCAAAGACACGGTATCCATCACCTCCAGTATGAGACCTGGCAGCCTCAGCATGCAGACAGTGAATGGTGACATCTGAAGTGGGAGTCACGTGGCCCATGTGCACATCACTCATTAGAGGAAAAGCATATTTAGACTGAAATGCAGTGCCATTTGTAATTTGCCCCAACTTTTTTCCTTTCTCTTTGGAAAAATCTCCACATAGACCTATGTTCTCTGAGACTAATATTTTCAGTGCATCATTTCACAACTGACAGTGTTAGTGGATAGTTTGATAAATACATATAAACATAGGGCCTTGCACCTGCTAGGCAAGTACTGTACCACTGAGCTACATCCCCAGTCGCATATGTAGTCCAGGCTGGCCTCAGAACTTCAATCCTCCTGTGTCCACCTCCTGAGTAGTGGAATTACTACCACCATACCTGGACCTAGTTTGCAATGTTTTCTGCATTTTTTTCTTTGTCTGTTTGTTTGAATCTGAAATTTACCTCAAGGCTTGTGTGTTAAAGGTTTGGTCCTCAGTTTGGCACTGTTAGGAGGTGGTAGAATCTTGAACTGGGGGGGCCTTGTGGGAGGTCTTCACATCACTGGGGGTGTATGGTGAAGGAGACTGTAGGACTCCAGCCCTTCCTCTATCTTTCTTTTGCTTTCTGGCCATGAAATGAATGGTTTTGCTCTGCTACAGGCTCCTGCTGTGAGGTGCTGCCTCACCAAAGGCCAAAGAGCAATAGGGCCAATCGATCATGGACTGGAACCTTCAAAACTATGAGTCAAAAGAAAGCTTTTCTCTTTATAAGTATATTATTTTTTGATGGAAAATTGACTAACAAAATGCTGGAACAAAGTGCCACTTTAATGCAAAACGCAAATCCATGCAAAATAGAGTGCCATTTAACATCACCCAAAAACAACAAATAGGACCACAATGCTGGTTTCACTCAACAGAAAAGCTTGGAATTCTGGAGTGATTTCTTTGCTTGATAATTACTCCATGTTTTATATCAAATGAGGTCAACTTAGTTTCTTTAATAATATATGTGAGTAAAAATTACACAGAATTCTGAGCGTTTCTTTCTTTTAGTGAGTAGACTTATTCAGTATTTTCCAAATGTATTTCTTTCTGTTAAGAGATGCAGCAGTGACATTAAACAGATAGTAGTAATTGATGCATAATTAATGGGTAGCAGGCAGACAAGCAATTTTAGCTTGGAATCCTTAATCTTAAATAGTCTTGCCCTGTCACACTCTTCACCATATCTCCCGTCATGCCCTAGGACCTCCCCCAGCTCTCATCAATAGCACAGTGGACACAATTTAATTCGCTTTTGAGGGCAACTTTTAAATTTGCTGCAGTGGCAAAAGACAAACACCCTCAGCTAAATATATATGTGTGCATGCATGCAAACATAAACGTTTGCTTCCCTCATGCCTTAGTCTCAAAGCTCTTTATTACCTTTTCAGTTCCCTAATATTCTGCAGCCCCATCTAACACCTGCTTGTTAATTTCATTCGGTTTTCAGCTAGTCTTTTAGCCAGCAAAGACAACTCACTCAATGATAGCAAAGACTTTTCCTTTTTCTTTTTTCTACTCTATCCTTTTATTACCACTAATCACATACCTACCATATGCCTTCTAAGATACTGGTTTCTAGCCTTTTGTTAACTTCTCTTGTGTATCACCCAAGCTCCAGTTTCCTTTGTTTAGTAGAGACAATACTCCAGGGGAGGGGAGGGATGACATGGAAGAGTGTCTGAAAGCAATGCTTCCTGTTTCCCAGGAAGCATCCCTCACTTGTGTACTCTGATGCTGATGACAGGACGGAAGGTTCTGTCAGAGTGTCAACAGGCATCCGGCTTGTCACAGGTGTGGCATGACTGCCTTTCCCACTAAGCTACACCTCTGTTTGAGGGGCTCCCCGGGATGCCTCAATTTTAGTTCCTTTCAGGTATTTTTCTATCTCAGCCCAACAGCTTTTTAATTTTTAAATTACGAGTAGGAAAATCTGGTTTTACCCTGCCTGTAACTAGCTCTAAGGCTTTGGGCAGACAAGTCATGAAGTGCACAACCCTCAATTTTCTCACTTGTTAGAAAAAAGAATCAGATTAACTAAATTGGTTTTGGTTGTTTTTATTTGTTACCTTGTTTTTTGAAGCAGGGTCTTGCTATGTAGCCTAGGCTGGCCTCAAACTCAAGATCTGTGTGCTGGGATTACTGGTGTGTGTCACTATTCCCTGCACTAGATGAAATAAACTCTAATGTTCCTTTTACCACTGATGTCAGATGCAAAATGGCTCAGGAGAAAAATCTGGGCTGCCTCAGAGCTTGTCTTTGCTCAGTAGTACAATAGAAGGAATGCCTACTCAGAATAACTACTATTAGTCACCTACTATATGTTAGACACATTGTCAGATCCTTACCCATAGTGTTTCATTGAATTACCATGGCAAGTCCAGGAGTTAGACAGTATCATTGTTACTAAGACGGTTTTGAAGATGAAGGTGCTAAGACTCAGAAAGGCTAAGTAGCTCTTTTCAAGACATTGAGTAACTGGCATATCTGGACTTGGGGCACCAAGCCCGTATTCTTAGCCACCCTGCTGCTCTTCTTTCCAATTCTCTTGTTGTTTGACTCTGCCTGTCAGTTTCCGAAACCAAGTTCACAGCTGCCATCTTGGACTCAGAGTTTGGGGTTCCGTTTCATCTCCAATGTCATTAAGTCTTCAGTCAAAATTGTGTAATCTCTGTGAGCCTTTGTTTTCTTGTCTGTGAAAGAAGATAATACCTGCTATAGACTGACTTTTTATGTACTCCCCAAATTTATGTTGCAATTCTTACCCCAAGGTGATGATATGAGGAAGTGGGGCATTTGGAAGGTGATTAAGTCATGGGGTAGAGCACTTCTGAGTGGGGCCAGAGGGCGACCCCTGGTTCCCTCTGCCGAGGGAGATTTGACTGGGAAGATAGCCATTTCTAAGAAATTGGATCCTCATCAGACACTACAACGGGTGCCTTAATCTTGGACTTCCCAGCTTCCAGAACTATAAGGAACACATTTCTGATGTTCAGAAGTTACCCACTCTATGGAAAATTGTTACAGAAGCTCAAGCAGCCTAAGACACTACTTGATGGTTCTGTGTGAAATGAAAAGGTGTCAGCTGGTCCCCTACCCTGCTTCTCTCTATGTGGCTTTAACCATTTAACCACTACCGGCAGGTTTCGCCCCAGTCCAGGCTTCACAACCAATCTTCCTGTGTGGGAAGGCCTTTAAAGACTGCTGATTCATTGCTGAGAGGGATTCAGCATCAAACCTAGTCTCTGATCCTGATGGCTCAGCTGCATCAGGCCAGGCAGCCTGGCCAAGCCCCTGAGACCATGCTGCCTGAGTTTGAATCTCTGAGTTTTAATCTGTCTTAGGCAAGTTATTTCACCTTTCTGTGACTCAGTTTCTTCACTTGAAAAAATGGAGAAAATAAGAGTAGCTATTTCACAGGGTTATTGTATAGGAACAATAAATTTAAAACTGTA